CTGTCACCTGTGCCCTCCGCTGGTTTGTACAGTCCCCGTCCCGGGCTCCCCCTGCTGACTCCATCAGCTTCTAATATGCTTTTTCTAACATATTTTACTTGTATGTTTTGGTAACTGTTTATTCTTAATCTCTCCCTATGGTAATGAATGTCCATAATGATAGATCCCTTTGATGGTTTTGTTCACTGATAAATCCCAAGCATGTAATAATGACGACTAGAAACATGCTGCACACATAAGGAACAAGTGTGAAGTTGTGATTGAACATCATAAACATAACAAACAGACTGAACCAAGACATTTGATACACCAAAATGCTTAACTACTGTGCTTAGAATTGCTGTGTGTAGAACATTTGGTGAAGTGTGATTTGCTATAAAAATGAATTTGGCATCATAGTAAAACTTAGGAATAAATGATAACTATAGTACTCAGAAAGATTGAAGAGGGTATCAGAAAAATATTCCCTTGTTCCTGGAATAGGCAGAATCAATATGGTCAAAATGACTATACTTCTAAAACTGTTACATACATTTAACATAATCCTAATAAAATGCCAATAGCATTCCTCACAAAACTAGAGAAAGTAATCCTAAGCTTCATATAGAATCAGAAGAGACCTAGAATAGCAAAAGCAATTCTGGGCAACAAAGGCAAGGGTTTGGGGCATCCCTAACTTAGAGTTATACTACAAAGTTTTCCAGTGATAAAAACAGTATGGCATTAATTTAAAAAAGGATCAGTGAAACACAATACAGGATGCAGAAACAACTCAAAGCATACTCATCTACCTTGTCTTTGATAAGTGGTGAAATCCTTTTGGTAGAGGAAAGATAGCCTCTTTAACAAATGGTTTTCGACTGGTTATCTACATGCTGAGAATTGAACCTAGACCCTTTCCTCTCATCAGGCATTAAATTAGAACCAGAATGCATCAAAGATTTAAATAGAATAGAAACACTTACTCTGCTGGAAGACAAAATAATTAAAATACTTGCACAAAGGCTTTTTGAACAGAACCCCAGATGCACAAGAAATAATACCAAATATCAACTAATGGGATCACATCAAATTAAAAGCTTCTGCACAGCAAAGGAAACCACCAACAGAGTAAAAGGAAAACTTACAGAGTGGGAAAAGAATTTTGCCAGCTAATCTTCAAAGAACTAATATTTAGAATGTATAAAATAACTCAAGAAACAGACCCCTCCGAATTTAAAGACCCAAGAAAAAATGGCCTCTGAAGTGAATAGACACTTCTTAAGTGAAGAAATACAAATGAGCAATAAATATATGAAAAAAAATGCTCAACATTTGCAAGTTGTTCAAGAACTACAAATTAAAACAACACTGAGATTTCCTTTCACTCCAGAAAGAATGGCTATCATCCAGAAATCAACCAATAACAAATGCTAGTGGAGTTGTGGATGGGGGAAAAGGATTTCTCTTCATTGCTGGTGGGAGTGTAAACTGATACAACTATTAGGGAAATCAGTGTGGTGATTCCTTTGAAAATTACAACTAAAAGTTCCACTTTACCCAGCCATTCTCCTTCTATATATCTAGAAAGAGTTAAAGACATCATATCACAGTGATGGATGCATACCCATGTTTATAGCAGCACAATTCATAATAGATGAATTTTGGAAGCAGCCTATATGTGTTCATCATCAAATGAATAAGTAAAGAAAATTTGATGTTTGTATACAATGGAGTATCATAAAGAATAAACTTGAGTCATTTGTAGGAAAATAGACAAATGTTGAGACCATAATGTTAAGTGAAGTAAACCAGACACAAAAGCTTGATTTCTCTTATATGAGAAGCTCAATACTGTATATAAATGAAGTGCAGTAAAAAAAAGACAAATAATAGGAAAAAAAGGAAAGAAAAAATTTTCTAATCCAGTATAGGCATATAAGATTTAGTATAGTTGTCTTAAAGTGTTTTATATGCTTTTGGGCTTATTAATCTGTTTGCTACTCTGTATGATAATTAACTTCATAAGGACTTTAAAGATGAATAAATGAATCTGATGTTGGCCAAAAGGTAAGGAGGAATGGAAAGAAAAAGAATTGAGATGTGTTATTACATGTACCAGTTTCCCACAATGAAAGTAACCATTGTGAACTAACAGAAATTTTTAGAAAGAATAAGGTAGAATATCAATATAGAAAATATAATCTTAGAAATTAAGAAACTCATTGAATTTATTGTCATGAAAGAGACCCAAAAGAACCAAACAAAAATACCTTTTCTCATCTATTATTTAGCTAAAAAAATTGACAATACGCTCTGTTTATAAAACTGTGGGTATTACACGTTATTGACAAAAGTGCAAAATGATACATACACTGTGACAGATACACTAAATTTCCAGGCAGGGCTCAAGTTTGCAGTCCCCCTGCCTCAACCTCACACACTGCTAAATTACAGATATGCACCACCATGCCCAAGTCTCTAGATCTATTTTTTAAGTCTTCTAATAAAAGCTAGGCCCTAGGAAAAGTTTGCTAAATTTTTGAAAATAATATTTCAAATGTCTATAAAATTTGAAAGTGAAGAAAACGCTGTTCTCTAAAGGCAAATGTAGTTCTGAATTAAAATCAGAGAAAGACTGGAAAATAAATACTTTCACTCATAATTTTTTTTGGTACTGGGGATTGGACTCAGAAGCTTCACACTGAACTACATTTCCAGTCCTGTTGTTATTTTTTTATTGAAACAGGGCTAAGTTATATAGACTGGGCTTCAACTCACAGTCCTTCTACCCTAGTCTTCCAGAGTATTAGAATTATGAGCATGTGCCACCACATCCACCTAAAAAAAAAATCACAAAATTTTGACACTTGGTAGCATTTAAAAAAAAAACACATCCTCACCAAGTTGCATTTATCCCAGTGTTTTTATTCACACAATAAGATAAAACTACTGTGATAATTCACTTCATGAATTACAGAACCTCCATATAAGCATTTCAACAAAGAAATTTTAATATTCATTAAAAACCACTACCAAACTAGGAGTAGCAAAGAAGAATTTTATCTAACAATAACATCAAGTCCATACTAAAAATGTATCAAAATATTTGCTTTAAATCAGATATAAGAATTAAAAGGGAAATAATCATTTATAAATTATATCAAAGATGATAGTTATCTTCATAGATCATCAAAGAGGATTTATAATGGAATTACTGTAAATAAGGACTCAGCAATGTTGGTGGATATGGGATATGTATATATATATATATATATATATATATATATATATATACAACATCATTTCTATACCTTTGGAATTGTAAACAAATAAAAAGAGCCAACCAAAGATCCAAAACCCTATTAAATTTTTGTAGAAAGACATTAAGGAATAAATAAGTTGTCCCTTGTTAGTGGATAGGGATGTGCATGGACTCAAGTAATCTATAGATTTAAATTATAATGAAAGCAAAGAACCAAAAATGCTAACTTCTAAATATAAAGAGACATATAAGGAAGCTGATTAAGTGTTTGATGTAGATGCAGCTGGCACCAGCAGCCTCTCCCATTCCTGGAATTTTGATCTTTCCCAGAAAGGCAGTGCACATCCTTCAGGAAATGGATTCTTCACCAAATGCTGTGGGGCAGTCAGATACCTTTCCTGATATCATTCGTAAAAATCAATTTCAGTTAAATTAAAATTCATAAAGAGAAGACTTTAAAGTGTAGAAGAAAAATAAAGTGGCTATTTATAAAATAAAGCAAATGATCGATTTTGTAATACCCAAAGTATCAACCATAAAGAAATGATAAATATATTTACACTAAAATTTAAAGCATCTTTTCATCAAAGGGCAACATACAAAAAGTCCAAAGTCCAAAACTGAACCTTCATTCTTGCTATACAGTATTTTATAAACACGTGGACAAAAGGTGGTGTAAAGAATACATTGAGTATGTCATTTCTTAGAGGAACATTGAGTTTCCCCAAGGAATGTGAGAGAGATGGGATTTGGAAGAAACTTTAGAACTAGTACAAAGCTAAAGATGGAGAAGAAAAGGGGGGAGGAAACAAGAAAACATAAACCATGAGAAATCTATGGAAAGAGACAGCTGTTCCTTTAAATGTCCTACGGACACCTAAGCAGCAAAACTTCCACTAAGTGTGTGTTAGGTAAACGGGATTGATCTTCACTCTCAAAATCATTGTAAGTTAAACTGCAACCATCTCCTGTCAGTTAGAATATATACCTATTCTTGAATAATTTAAATTGCTTTTTATATTTTAGGAAAGGTATTTTCCTAAAATATAAAAGTCCCCTTTTAGGCTTTATGAGGCTCCCTAGAATAGAACACTTAAAAAAAAATTTTCTCTGATAATAGTAGGCAAGACATTTTGGGATGCTATAGAAACCCTAAATCCTACGTCTTAAGGGCAGTGTTTGCCATGACTTCTGAGGTAGCCTGAGTGAGTTTGGTTTCCCAGAATGTTAGGAAAAACTGTCTGTATTCTCAGGGCAGTGTAAACCAGCAGTGCAGGGGACTGGATGGGGATTTCTTGACCCTTGGAGCCCACCGTAGGCAGGACTTAGTAGTCTGTCTCCCTCCTTTAAAATACCCTTAGAAGTCACCTTCCTGCCTCATCATGCAGTGCAACTCCACTTGAACATGATGTGTTTCTATTTAAATTACTCTGCTCCACACTGTCCATCCTGTTCATGCTGCACCTGTGGAAATGGTGACAACGTTGTGGAACTCTTATTGTGACCCATGTTAGCCTGTCCTACAAACACAGCCAATAAAGTGTCATTGGACAGCCATTGTGCTCTTGACAGAGGCTGTGTTGAGAATCAAATGCAATGTGATTTGAAAATTAAATCATTTCACTGGTACTTTAAAATCATTAAAAAGTGCTTATTAGGCCTGTTACAGTTTGACTTTAAAGGAACTTCATTTTGGAGTACAAAGGCTTTGAATTTTATTTTGCTCCCTCTAATTTTTGTTTTCTTTCTCTTTCAGGGTATATGAGAAATATTAGTTGCCATCTGGCCTTCATCAGCTGACCTTGGAAAAACCTCCTGAGATGCTTTACCTTAATGCAATTTAGTTCAGCCTCACCGTTTTTTACCTTAGCTTTGATGGCCTGTTCACTCAACTGAGCAGTTAGGGATGGTCAATTTCTCCCTGTCATTAGTTATGCATGTTTGCAGGCACTGATTACTACACTCATTTAATTCCTACTGCCTGCAAAATGTTACGTTATTTTTATAATTGATTTTGCCTCTTATTAGAATTGCTAGAACAATATTATTAAGACAAAAAAACAATCACTTGATACTTTCAGGTTAATGAGAACACTGGATGCTACAGGCTTCTTTCTATAAGCAACTATTTCTAAGCTAATTTTCAGATCAGGTTTGGGGAAGCTTTGAGATCTTTTTAGATTTTTATACATGCTATCTTAATCTAGGCAACAAACATGACCAAAGGAAAAATATCATATACTGTATTAAACTTACAAATAAATTTTGAACTGCTTTTATGGAAATGAGTTGCTTTTATTTTTGGTGAAAAGCTCTTAGGCTTTTCTCTCTTCAGGAGTCTTATTTTAATATTTCTTTTTACAGTCTCTATAGATCAAATATAGTAAAATAATCACCGCTGAATCTTGGCTCTTACTTTGGTCTTTATTAATATGGTCCCCCTGATTTTCAGACTGGCACAAATTATTTCTATAAAAACCAACGAGACACAAACGCAGACATCGTATGTGGTTCCTAGGTTTACTGAAAACGTTTCTTTGCCTAATGCCTCTTATTTGCCATTGCCTATCCAATAGGCTTTGCCATTCAACTTCTGTAAGCTTGAACCAGTTCATGCCCCCCAGAGTACCCACACTGATTTCCCCTTCTATGTTGTCATAATCCACTTCCTGGACCCACGCCCACCCCGTTATATAAGGAAAGGATTACTGTACATTTAATTTTAGAATAAATTTGAGGAACAAATCATGTATTTTACAGCTGGGCAACCAGCAATTTGCAGCTTTACTCGATCTTCTGTATTACTAATTGCTCCGTTGAAATTAACTTTCCAAATCTCTTCTTTATTCAAAGGAAATTGGGAGTTGAAATTCTTGGGCCAAGACTCATGACTAGGGCAAGTGTGCCCTGCAGAAAGGGCCACACGGGGTTGGGTGAGAGGGTGGCTGCGAACAGATGGTGACCAGGCATTTTCCCTGGAATTACAGATCGCACCCTCCTTGGTTCCCTGTACTCTGCCAGCTGAGGCTGTGTTAGTGCTACTGACACTAATTTAAAATCTTTGGTCCATTTGAAATCTTTGCTGTTGCCTTATATGGGAAGCACTAAATCCCTCAGCCTGGGCTGGAAATGCAGCCAGACAGACTGTAGCTGCGCGGTGGCGGCAGGCGTTTCACTGCTGTGGAAAGCGGCAGTTTCAGCCCACACTGCCAGCCTGCTACCCCACAGTGGTGATTCAGTCTGTGTCTCGGCTTGCCGGCCTCACTTGCTACATCTTCCAGGGTGCAGGCCTGAGTAGGAGAAACGGACACTTGCTTTCTTTGAAGGCTCTTAGAGAAGTTTTTGTAAACAATACATGTATTTTTCATAGTTTTAGAGGCCGAAAATCTAAAACCAAGGTGTCTGCAAATTTGGTATCTGATGAGAGCCTACTGTCAGGTTGATAATGTTTTCCTGCTGTGTCCACATGATAAAGGAACAAAAGGTACTTACTGGTCCTCTTTTTGTTTGTTTTTGGAGGTTTATTTTTTTTGAGATGGTCACACATTGTATTTCAGGCTGGCCTTGAATTCATTATGAAGCCCAGGCTGGCCTCGAACTCATATGCATTCTCTTGCCTCAGCCTCCCAAGCTCTGCAATTACAGGCACCAAACACCCATCTTGCATCTCTCGTATAAGGATCCTAAGCTATTCATGAGGCTTCTACACCTGTGACCTAGTCGCCTTCCTGTGGCCCCATAATGTCATCCCTCTTAGTACAGATTTCAGCATATGAATTTTGGAGAGTGTAACATTCAGACCATAGCAGAGAGTTTTGGTAAATCTAGTCAAACTACTTTGTCAAAAGGTAGCACCAGTATTTATTACCACCAGATACAACCATACCTTTGTTCCTATACCCTGCAGGATACTATTGGTGATTTTAAACATTTGCCAGTATACTGAATTAAAAATGTTACTGGAGTAGTTAAATCTTCTTTTTCGTTATGTGTATGGGGGGTTGTTGTTTGTGGTTTTCCTTTGCAGGGAACAAAGAAGGGGAGGAAGAGTATGTGTATCCCACCTGTAAAAGACCTCTCTGTGTTAAGGTTTTATGTTGTCAGTATTCTAATTTTATGTGTCTTTTAATTTAATGTTACTTAATTTGATAATAAAGTTTGAAATATCTGTGTATTTGGATTCAAGCTTTTTTTCCCTTGTGGTTTCTTATTGGTATTACGTTAATAGATTTGAAAATGTGCGATAACCTGCCTCATGGCTCATCCTAACAAAGCGGAGGATTTCCCCTACTGTTGGGCCTACTTACAGGAAATGAACAAAAGATGTTCTCATTCTTTTTATAGCAGAGGCCTGAGAAATCATATTTTTATGTGTGTTTTTACACTAGCAGAAATACGTCCTGTAATCTCTTAACTATTCTGTTTAAGAGAAAACATTGGATTCTTTCTTTGATTGTTTTGGTTAAACATTATAGGAACCCTACAGATTTATTTTTATTTTGGAGATTAAGTTGTCATTTAGAAAGTATCTTTAGGCAATGACATTATAGTTACAATAAATGGAGATACATTTTCTCCTAAAATAAAACACTTGACATTTTAAAATAAATAATAAGTTAAATGTCTTGTGAAAACTTGGCCTAATAATTTATAACTGATATTTAGAAAACTACCATAGAACCGGTACCTATATGCTTAGTTTTCAATTTCAAGGTATTAAGCAGATAGTTTTTGATTAGGGAACCTATTTATTCCTAGGAAAGGGTGTGTTTGGAAGTGTGCTGCTGGAGGAAGTAACGGGAATTATGTTAGAACCATTGAGGGGGGAAGAAAATACTGTGGGTTCTTTGTTTTTTAATTGGATGAGCTAGTGTTTATGGTAACCAGCTGTGTGCTCATGTGCACAGAGCCTGGAGTGATGTATGACACTTTTATATATGGGTATAAAATTATGCCTTTTAAGTAACCATAAGGACTGGAGAGAATGAACACAAGCATTTATTCAAGGAATACATTTGGCGCTGAAATCTTTTATTTTTCAAATATTCCATTGTTTTGAGGTGGAATTTTAAAAGGAGCATCGAGAGATGATTTTTATTTTCTGCTCACAGAATTATGTGCTGAAAAGTGGAGGATTTTTAATAAGGCGTATAAAGGCAAATGAAGAGACACTCTGGTTACATGTATTGCCATGTTATTGTGCCATCTGCTGGAACAGAGCGTTCAGGGGGACCTGTGCTGCGACAGGCACATCCTCTAGTCAGCTAGTTTATCACCCCTCGGCTCTGGGGCTCAGCTGCAAGACTTGTCAGAGTCCCCTTCCCTCTGTGTCCCTGAAGAACCCTGCCTGCAGCTGAGCTGCAGAGCTTTTCATTCAGTCATCAGAAGGTGACAGTTTATTCCCTACAACACATTCTGCAAGTGATCAAAACCAAATTATGAGCTGGTTAGAAATTTTATTTTCTATATTTTGGAAACCGTGTTGTGTTAAAATGAGAAGTTGTGCTTCAGTGGAGAGCAGCAGCAGATAGTGGATATTTGAAATTGGACATTATGAATTAAAAATCAGAAATAAACATTTAAATAAGACATTTACGTTCTAGTCTGTTTTGGATATGGTGCTGCGGAGACAAAGATAAGCAGTGTGGGTCCTGTTCTCGCAAAATAGAGCAGTTGTAATAGGTAACGGGACCACAATAGCCAACCCCATGTCTCCCTCCCTGGATTACTATAATGCATTTATTTTATTTGAGGCATACCCCAAGTTCCCGCTCACCTTAGCCCCCCAGAGACCTAGGCACTTCCCTTACAGTGCAAGGAGACAGTAGCCACAGCCCACAGGGGGCAATTAAATGCTTTTTCCAGGAAATGCAGATGCTGTTTCCTGTCACATTTTATTGGCCAGAAATCACATGGTCATCCCTAACTTTAGGGGAAGTTGAAAATCTACAATCTTTTAGAGGAAAAGATTTAGAACATGTATAAAAAGCACTAATGACTGCCCCCAGGAATCCACTGTACAGCTATAGACGCAAGATACACCCATGGAAGTTAAGGATACATGTAAGTCCAAAACAGTAAGAAAGTCTTAGTTCAGCTCAAAACTTAATAAGGATCCAGTATATACCAGGCACTGTGCCTGCCCTGGAGACTACAGATACTGTATGTGCCAACCAACCACCAAGAAACTAATTTGTGGGGCGGGGTGACCCACACCTCTAATTCTTGTACTCTGGGAGACTAAGGCAGAGGCTCCCAAGTTTGAGCTCAGCAGGAACAATTCAGCCACGTAGTGAGAACTTGTCTCAACGTTTAAAAAAAGAATTAGAAAAGGTCTGGGTATACAGTTCAGTGTGAAGGTCCTGAGTTCAATCCCTATTATTGGGGAAAAATTTGATTTATTAGAGTTACACACACTACACAACTAGGCAAAAAAATTCAAGATAGGAACTATGCAAAATAATAAAGCAAGAGATATAGAAAAAAAGACATAAAAAGTTTGTGTACCATATCAAGAAGGTTGGGCTCCTATAAGTTTATGAGGAAAAATTGGGCTTGGTTAGATTCTTGTTTTAAATAAGTGGTCAGTGGTGCATAGAAGAAAAGATACCCTCAAAGGAGACAAGCCCAGAGGCAAGAAGACCAAGTAACCCAAGACGAGAACCCTAAGTCAGAACAGTGAGAGAATAACTGAGAGAAGGGAAGGCACATGAGGAATTGTTAGGAAAATAAAGAACAAGACTTTGTAAGTGACAATTATAGACAGTGACAAATCAGAGATGAGTTTCGTATTTCTAGTCTGATTGCCTATACCTTCAAGTATAATAGAATTGAACAAAACAGTACAGAACAAGACCAGTAAGCCCAAATACAGTGATGGTGATGTAGCCATTTAGATCAAATGTGTTGTGTCTCAGTGAAATGGGACATTGATGTGGTCAGTAAAGAGTTTCAAAGGCTGTAAACCTAAACTGCATGAACTCAAGGGCTGTTTAATGCTGTATGTAATCCCAGCCCCCAAACCCTTGAATGGTGCCTAGCACATAATAGGGCTTCAGTGAGTATCGGATAAATGTATAGATTTTCTGGACTAGTAAAATTTTCATGTGTGGAGAGAAATGAGTATGGCTGTGGTTGGTAATCATTGGGTGGAGGGACATTCAAGGCGCAAACCATAGTGATATGGTAGTGATGGTGGATGGGAGGTGGTTTGGAGGAAGCTGGGAGAACCCGAGTGGTTGCTGCTCAGTCCAAAAGGAAATGGAAGAAAGATGTGGGACCCTAGCAGAAAGCTTTTATTTTTTTTATTTTTTAATTTGCAATTTCTCACACCTAATTAGCCAACCTATGATAATCAAGAGTAAAGAGACTTAGACTAAGGATATCAGACGAGGCCTATCAGTTATAAACATGTGCAGATTCTTCCAGTGGCAGTTGCTAGTGAAAACCGAAAGGCTTTCTTTGTCCATTTGTGGTACAAAAGTGGTGTTGGAAACACCTGTCCTAAAATTCCTACAGATGGTTAGCAGTGCCCTGAGAAGTAACGTTTTGAAGGAAAAGGGAAAACTCCTTAATGCTGGGGATAGGAGAGTCTAGTCTTGCTACTCGTTAGTGATATGGTAGTGATGATATTCTTTTTGTAAGAATCTCTTTGGTTTTATTGCTCTCCCCATCTTGTTTTGTCTGATTTTACTATATTCTA